CCCCAAAGCACCTGCTTGCAGGGCGGGGCCGATCGTGCGCCCCCCCCTTCTCCCCACCCCGTGCATCTTGCAGCTGGAGATCAGGGGACTCAAGGGCACAGCCCTGTCCTGGCCAGGGGGCGGTGGGGGAAGCCATGCGGGGGGCTTGGCTAGCTGCCTGGCACGCATCGGCCTCCCGTCCCTGCACCCACCCGGGCTGGAAATCCCAGCCCTGCGGAGATAGATCCAGTCCCACCCACAGCTGGTGGGCCTGGGAAGCAGCAAGCGGATCTGAGTTCCCAGCACACCTCCCCCAGCTGCCAGGACCCACTCCTGGGCCACTGGATCTTGGTCCCTCTGCGGAGCAGGTCAGTGCCCAGGGCCGGCTGGGAGTGGGTGGAGAGACCCACCACCAAACTCACTTCACATAAGAACCCCTGGATGGCCCTCAGCTGGGATCAGCCCTTGGCCACGGTTGTGTCTTTTGCTCTTAACACAACAAGGATAGTCTGGAGAAACCAGACAGGCGAAGCTTTGCCCAGGTCGCCATGCTCACGGGACACCGGCACGCCTGGCCTCGCGGCGTGCGCTTCTCGGATATGGAACACGGTGGGCACGCTATTTAAAGGGAGGCTACACCATTCCTATACAGTCACTGTCCCCACCTGGCAGGGGCGGCTCTATGTATTTTGCGGCCCCAAGCATGGGAGTCAGGCTGCCTTCGGTGGCATGCCTGCGGGAGGTCTGCCAGTCCCGCGCCTTCGGCGTACCCGCCACTGAATTGCTGCCGGAGCCGCGGGACCGGCGGACCTCCCGCAGGCATGCCACCGAATGCAGCCTGACTGCCGCCCTCACGGTGACTGGCAGGCCGCCCCCCCGTGGCTTGCCACCCACTTGGTGCGCTGGTGCCTCGAGCCGCCCCTGCGACCTGGGCTGGAGCCGAAGGTTTCAGAGGCCACTGTCCCCAGCTCTCACGTGGAAACAAGAACCGCGGCACAGCACGGTCTCTTCATGACCACAGACACCAGCCAGATTGCCGTTTCCATGTCAAATCCCAGCTCAGACCCCCACCGAGGAGTCGGCAACTGGAGTGAGCTTGTCCATTCTCAGCCGGCTCCATGTTCACTCAGCCATCAGCCCATCCTCAGCCCAGCTTCTCTGTCTGTGGCATTTCAGCCCTCCTGCTGTCCCCTCCAGCAAGGCCTGGCAGGGCCATGTTTACTGGGTACCGTTAGTTCCCAGACAGGGCCCCCAGAATCCTTTGCATTGGCTGCTCTGGTGCCACCTTCAAAGCACCTGCTGGTGCAGATGACTGCAGCGTTGCTCAGGAAGCTGCTCACGACACCTGGAGGTAGCGGGGGCACAAGCAGGGCACCTGGTGGGAGTGGCGCAATGGTGAGCCAAAGCCTGTTCTTGCCCCAAGCCACCCACAGCTGCCCCTCTCCCCCCCGGGGACCCTCCCCATAGATCAGCAGCACCCAGCAAGGAAAATGCCAAGTCTGGATCTGAGCCCCTCCTCACACCACTCCGGGCTCTGACCTGGCAGGCCCCAAACTGGGACTCCCTCCTGGCATCTGGCCCTGGTACCTGCCTGACCATCCCGGAGGAGAGCGCTGAATGAGGAGACCCCTTCGCAGGAAGCACCGCGGCCCTGAGGGAGGGGTGGGAACTTCAGCAGCGTGACTGGCATCGCAAAATCCTCTGGCCCGGTTACCTAGCAACACGGAGGCTGCCTGAGCCTGTGTCTGGGGATGCTCACATCCTAGCTCCCTCGCTGGGCGGGGCAAGACGGCAGCTTCCCTAGGGCCTGTTCAGCCTGGCAGAGAGACTGTGGGGCAGACACGCCTCCATCCCAGCCCCTCTTCCTCACTATAGCTCAGCGGGGCCTCCACGTCAGGACCAGCCTGGGGGGACAGGCAGCTAGGAAGGGACCGGAGCTGGGCTCTGGATCCAGATCCAGAACATCACGAAGTTCAGGGGCGCGGTGGGGTTTAAGGCCTGGTGCTGACTCTGTTCTCGCTAAAATCTCAGGCCTCATATTCTGACCTTCCCTTGCCAGGACTGAGCTGCAGAAGAACTAGGTTATGGGAACTCTACCTAGGATCAGCGCCCGCCCACGGGGATCTGTGTGCTGGTGCCGAACCCAGCTCGGCCTTCCCGAGACCAAAGGCAGGATTGCTCCCTCTTTTTTAGTAACACTTTGCCCTTCTAGAGCATCTTTCATCCAAGGATCTCAAAGAGCTTTATAAATATTGGCTTTCTAGGCCTTACGAGCCACTCATGTGGTGGGCTGGTATTATCATCCTTATTTTATAGATGGGGAAACTGAGGCACAGAGCAATGAAGTGATCCACACAGTGAGTCAGTGATGGCATAGAATCCAGGAGTCCTGTTGCCCAGCTTCCTAGCCCAACCAGTCGATCAACGTCTCCTCCCACAGCTGGGAATAGAACCAAGGTATCATGAATCCCAATCCCCTCTCTAAGTACTGGGGACCGAGACCTGGAAACCCCATAACCCTGAGGTTCGTAAAGTTCCCATCCCAGCATGGAATGGGGAGATCTCAGCTCTGAGACCCTGCTCCAGGGCAGCCCCAGGTGGGAATGCGGTAATCAGCGGGAACAGCCCAGCATTCATATCTCAGGAAAGCCGGTTTGCCCTGGCTAGCAGCTGCCTCCCCTGGGCCCTGGCCTTTCACCGCCAGCAGCTGTGTGTGATTTGAACACTGTACCCCTCTCGCTTTCCTTGCTGATCTGATGGGCTTAGTGCCTAACCTCCCTCCTTCCATTGCTGCAGGCTCTTTGCCTGTCATGTAACCAAGCTGCAAATCTCCCCTGCTCCCCCTGGTGCAATTACTCTCATTGTGCTCAGGCTGCGCCTAGCTTCCCGGATTCCCTTCCTTATCTGCCAGCAGTTGCACTGGGGAAGCACTGACAGGCCCGTAGGCATTTATCCAGGCAAAACATCTCAGCTGGAACCCGGGAAAAGGGTCTGAACAAAAGGATCCTGCCAAGTGAGCCTAAGATTCACTCTACCCCGCTCCGCCAGCCCGTGGATGGATGCTGTTTGAATGCAGCTCAATTTTGGCCCCGGGGTGGGTTTCAGAACCTAGACTCCAACCCGAGCCACCTTGGGTTAGGACCTCATCAGCTGTCTTCATTCCATTTCTGGCCCCATTTTTTTTTAAATCCCAAATGACTGAAATCCCATTAGATTCCTGTTAGAACCCATTTCACGTAAACCTCGTTAGCATTATTGACAGAAATCAGCCGTTCTCACAAGCCATGGCTGAACCAGAAAAGTACAGCCTTCCTCCCAGCTTTGTCTCCAACCCAGAGGCAGGATTCATAAGAACGGCCATAGTGGGTCAGTCCAAAGGTCCATCTAGCCCAGTATCGTGTCTTCCAACAGTGGCCAGTGCCAGGTGCCCCAGAGGGAATGAACAGAATAGGTGATCATCAAGTGATCCACCCCTGTCGCCCATTCCCAACTTCTGGCAAAAGGGATTCTGGATTCAAAAGGGATCAGGCTTGAGGTGGTGGATTCCCTGCCTCTAGCCCTGTGGAATATCTCTGAGCCTTTCCAACCCTCCAGCTGCACATCAACTCCTCCGTTATCAGATGTCCTTGGATCAGCCCCCCACATACTGCCAGGAACAGATGGAGATGGAGGTGGCTATGGTTTGGATATGTCGCCGTTTGAGCTGCAAGTGGATGAGAAAAGCTCACTGCCTTGGAGTTCTATATTATAGATTTAAAAATAATTGTCTCTTTACACCCCGGCATGTCAGTACCTGCTGTGAGGCAGGGCCGGCTGTAGCATTTTTGCCGCCCCAAGCGCGCGCGCGCGCACACACACACACACACACACACACACACTCTCTCTCTCTCTCGGCGGCAGCTCTACCGCCGCATCATTCTACGGCGGCAAGTCCTTCGCTCCGAGAGGGAGTGATGGCCCCGCCGCCGAACGGCCGGACGTGCTGCCCCCCCTATTCATGGGCCGCCCCAGGCACCTGCTTGCTACGCTGGTGCCTGGAGCCAGCCCTGCTGTGAGGATACCTCGCTCCAAAATCTGAGTGTGTCCCATCTGTCGGTGCCCCAGCATGGAGTTAAGGGGGCATTGCCCTGTTCTTCAGCACCTTCCTATTCTAATGTGCTTTCTGAGCTAGTCACTGGTGCTCCCACAGTGCTGCTTAGAAAGAATAAAGTCCCCACAACCCTAGACAACCAGTGCCCTCTCCTGCCATTGCGTGGTGGCGGAAGGTTCCCTGTAGAGCTGGTTGGAAATTGGGGTGTTTTTCCACAACAAATGTGGTGGTTTTGGCAAAAAATAAAAATACCTCTTAAGTATTTTGTTTCTGCAATGCCCCCATGGTACCTTATGGGAGTTGTAGTTCAGGTTCCCTCATGCTCCCAGTCTCCTATAGGCCAGCCTCCTGATCCAGACTTCATCTCCCATGATGCACCATGGCCTCCTCTCGTGGAAGCAGTGCATCGTGGGAGATGAAGTTCAGCTGGGCCGGCTTGCTGTGTTTCCAGCTGCTTGTGGCCTCTCCGCTCTGTAGGCTCTGACTGGATCAATGACAGACACACAGCATCTCTCCCCGCCCAAATGCACACACCAAGCATACACACACGCAGTTTGATACTATGGGAGGAGAAAGGAGTCTGTGAGCTCAGCCACTCTGCTCTGCTGACGGTCTCCTGCCCTTGTTGGAGGCCGCTCGGCTCCATTGCTCCTGCTGACAATTGCAGCAGAACAGATGTGGCCCTGCCTGTGCCTGATGCCCATGCCCCGACCAGCGCTCCTCCTCGCTGCCTTGCCCCTGCTCTCCTGAGCACGGGTGCAGCTGGCAGGAGATGTCTCGCCTTCCGGATGGTGATTCCCTGGGAAATATGGTTCGTCACCTATGATAGGGCCAAGCAGTGAGAATCCCAACAGTACCACCCCAGAAACACGGTGACGACCCCTTCGTCCCATCACCACTGTGGGTACTTGGGGATTGGGGGTGGGAGGGAACCAGTTGTGCTAAGAGTGCCATAAAAGGAACCAGGAACCTCGGAGGATGCTCCAGTCCCAGTCCACTGGGGTGAGCTCTGTGGGAAGTAAGAGGTGACCCCAGCCATTTCTCCACCTGTGCCCCGTTCTCCCTTCATTGCTGCAGACACCTCCCCCTGTCAGCCTCGTGGCTGGGGATGCAGCTGCAGCTCCCCTGGATATTCCGGGCCCTGAGTGACTAAGGGAGAGAAGAGAATTTGGGCTCCCTGTTTTTCAGCCCTGGGGGTCCCCAGTCCTGGGCCTGATTCTCCTTTACGCTGGCCAAACTCCATCAGGTTAAAGGGACTGACTCCTGCGTTACACTGCTGGGAATGAAAGGAGATCCAGGCCCTGGCATGTGCAGCGACAGCACTCGATCCTCACAGTCAGCAGCTCTGGGCATTCCCCTAAGCGGCCCACGAGGGTCCCCCGCTGCCTGCACTCTGGGGGTACAGTTTGTTTGCCGCCCCATCCTGTAACCATGCCCTTCCTGCACATAAGTGCTCATGCACTAAGCACACACACCCATATGCGCTGCACAAACGCCCACACGGCTTGCACGCAACCTGAATGCTTCTGTACGCACAGAGGGGCAAAACAATCCTGGGTGTAACTCCAGAATGTCACTAGAGTTATTCTCAGGCTGAATTTGGCCCACATGCTGGTATTTTGCGTCACACTTTCTCTGTCATGTACACACACTCTCTCCTTTCACACACACACACACACACACCACACACACACACACACACACACACACACACACACACACACACACAC